CGCCCTTTAGTTTTGTTTTCTTTGTGGGGGGCAAGGGAAAGCCGACCCTCCCCGGGGAAAAGGTAAAAACCCGGGGCGTAAAAATTTTCCTAAAAAACCACAAAAAGCCAAGGGGGTGTTGGGGGGTTTTTCTGCCAAAATCCCCCCAAAAAGGGTATGCCCAAATAACCTAGTTTTGCTTTTTCCCTTTTAATTTCTCGTGCGGGTTTTTTCCCCCTTTTTTTAAAAAAAGGTTTTTTTCATTCCAGAAGCCCCGTTCTTGATTTGGGTTTTTTACATCCATTTGACTTTTTTTTTTCCCCTTCCGGGTTTTTTTCGGCTTACAAATCATGTTTCCCCCCCTGACAAAAAAACTTTGTCTCCCCAAAAACCCCCGGACGTTTGAAGGGGATTTTTTTCTTCCCCGTAAAATTTTTTAGTAACGTTTTGTTTTTTTTTTTTTTTTTCCCAGGGCAGAGCTTTTTCAAAAACTTTCCCCACCCCCCCCAGCCTGGGACCGGGAGGGTATCTTTTTGTTCCCCGGCCCCCCCCACCAAAAACTTGTTTCCGGCCCGGGTTTTTCCCGAAAAAAACTTTTCCCCCGGGCCCCTAGCTTCCCCCGGGGTCCCTGGGGGGGCTCCGAAACTCCCCACCAACCCCAAGTAATGACCTTCCCGGGAAAGGGGGGGGGGGGGGTTTTAAAAAAATGTTAAACCCCTTTTTTATCCTTTCCCTTTTATTTTTTTCTTTTTTTTCCCTTTAAAATCCGCACTCATTTTTAAATTTTTCAAAAAACATAAGGGGGTTTTTTCCCCGACCGCGCTACTTCCCCCTTTTTCGAGAAAATTGTCGATTTCCCCCGGAGAAAACTTTTTCCCCCCCTAAAAGAAAAAATTATCTGCTTTGGGGGTTTTTTCTGCCCAAAGTCCCTTTTAAAAGGGTACGCACAAAAACAAAAAACTAAAATTTTTAAAATAAGGTTTCTGGATCTTAGTTAATAAATTTTTTTCTATAGGTTTTGAATCCCCTTTAAATGGGGCGTTGCCCGAACCCCCCCCAGCAGCCCATGGCTGTTTGTGGGCTTTTCCCCCCTAGTCCCCAAATTTTTCCCCCCCAATTTGCCCTTTTCCCCTTGGGGCGGACGGCCCCCCGAAAACACGTCAAAACCCCAAAGCAAAAAACCCCTGGGTGGGAGCTGGGAAACGAACCCAGCCCCCGGCCTTTTCGAAACGTTCGCTCGACCCTTTGGTTTTTTCAGAAACCCACTTTTTTTAAAATAAACCAAAATGAAAAAGACAACAATGGGTTTTTTTTGGGCTTGGGGGGTTTTAAACAAAATTTTTGGCCATTCGGGACAGTACAAAAAGAAAGGGTTTGGGGGCCCCCTGGTTTTTTTCCCAAAATGGGGGAAAAACCCAGGTGCCCGAGGGGGGGATTTTTCCCGGGGCCCTTTTTTTCTTTTTTGATTTTAGGTTTTTTTGAAAAAAAGGTTTTTTTGGCCCCCGTTCCCCTTTACCTTTTTTTTTTTTTGGCCCAAAAATTTAAGTTTTTTTTTAAATTTTAAATTTTTTAAGGGCCCTTTAAAAAAATTTTTTTTAGTGATGAATTTCTAGAGTTCCCCTTTTCAAAAGGGAATTTTAAAAAACAAATTTCGGGGTAAGGGGGTTTTTCCAACATGGGCTGGGTCACCCCCTCCCCAGATTTTAATTGGGAGGGGTTGGGGAAAATTCGCCAAAAATTGGGAAATTAAAAGGCCCATCGACAAACAGATCCCGGAAACGGTTACATACCATTTGCGTGTTTTTTTGATTTTTTGTCACACAAAGCCTTTCTTTAAAAGGGAATATATTTTTGGAAATGTTTTAGATTCCCTTTTCCTGCAGGTTTTTTCCCCGGCGGGGTCATGATCAGCTACTGAAGGAAAATTTTAAACGCCCCTCCTTTTCCCCGGGCCCCCCAGAAAAGTTTTCTTTAAAACACTTTGGCCCAACGGTTGTAGTGAAAGTTTTTTTTAGAAGAAAAATAACCCCCCCCCCCCCCTGCCTTTTTTTTCCCCCCCGGGTTATGGGAACATTTTTTTGCTAAGCCCCAAAAAAAAGCACAGGGCCAAAAAGAAATTTCCAAATTTAAAATTTTATTCCCTTGTTCCCCAGTGAGGGCCCCCGTACCGAAGGAAAAAAAATAAATTTTTCCCCTTTGTTTTCTCTTTCTGTTTAGTTGAAGGTTTCCCAAAATTTTTAGGTGCTTTTTCCCTTTAAATTTTCCTTGGGGGGTTTTTATCACTCAAACTGTCCCACTGTCCCCCCTTAATTTTTTTCCGTTGGGGGGAAGGGGGGGTATTTCTTTCGTAAAGTCAAAAAAACAAGAAACCCCTACACTAGGGCCGTTTTTTATAAAATTTTGGGATCTTTTAAAAAATTTTTTGGCCGGGTAGGGCACGTGAAAAGATGACGAATTACTGGGGTTTGGCATAGATGCAAAGCTTTTCATAAAAGAGTTTTAAAGGGTTTGGGTTAATTTTTTTTCTTTCCTTGTCTAGCCTTCCTGGTTAGTTTCATGTGGTGTGATAAATGATTACTTCCATTCACACAACTACTTCCATAAGCACTTGATGTTCCTAGCAAATATCATTCTAGTACTGTCAGTGCAGTGCACTTCATCATGACACCGACTGGGATCCAGAAATCTGCAACAGGATCACAAAACCTGCGTGTGTGATTTGAGAACCTGCTGAAAATATGTTCAATGCTCACCACTTGTCATTTACTTCACAAACAGGGCTATGAGAGAAAACCTTGCCTATACATGTTTCTAACAATAATTGCCATGCTTCCATCTGACCCTGCTTCCATCCTGCTACATTCCCTGAGTCATCTGTGATAAACCATGACACCACATGAAATATTGCTGGAGATGCAAGGCAATAAGAGATCAGTTTGACGTGGTGAGGAATCGTGTTTATTGCTTGGAGGAAGTCCATAAACTCTTCACCACAAAGTTGTCCATAAAGTGTCTTCCTTTGAGGACTGACCTACAAAGTTGTGCAGTGTCTTCCTTTGAGGACTCACCAACAAAGTTGTGCAGTGTCTTCCTTTGAGGACTGACCTACAAAGTTGTGCAGTGTCTTCCTTTGAGGGCTGACCTACAAAGTTGTGCAGTGTCTTCCTTTGAGGGCTGACCTACAAAGTTGTGCAGTGTCTTCCTTTGAGGACTCACCAACAAAGTTGTGCAGTGTGGGAATATTCATGGGGGCTAATCTGGTAAAAATACATAAAACAAAAAAAAAAGGTATGTTTTCAGAAGGTATCAGTATCATACCCCTACTGACAGCAGTGACATCCACAACAAGAAATATTAGTTGAACTAATAGAAAGGATTATGTTACTTCTTTCTGAAAGATTTCATGTTATTTTTGACAGAATATATAATCATGAGTGGAGGAGAATGTTACAAATGTGGAAGGCCTGGGCACTTCGCAAGGGACTGCCGTACGGGGCAAGGTGGTTTTATTCGTGATAGAGGTATGGGACGTGGAGACTTCCGTAATGGAAGAGGAGGCCTAGGTAAGAAAGTTATTTTAGGCAAAGATCACTTTTATTGTACTAGTTGATTGTATTTTAACTACATCTTTGTGACTCTTGAGTTTTAATGTTGCAGATATTATTTAAGACACTTTTGCATGAGCATTTTCAGCACATAATTCCTGAACTCTTTTAGTCAGAGACATTTCCAAAGCAGTGGATGCACAAAGTAATCATTTGGCTTAAATAATAGGATGGGGCAAAAGAAACAATTAACAAGTGGTATAGAATCGTTGATGCTATAGCTGGCGGTGGTAGAATGAAATGAGTAAACCATATTTCAGACTGTGAATAACTGGCTACTGACAGGTTGTGATTCCCTGACATCTTTGGCTGTCAGCTGAAAGTTGCATCATAGGCTCTGTTCATAATCGATTTTAAACGTTTCGTGGATGATATGGACATCATGCAGCTCGTAATTAAAAACAGTGACCTAAAAAAAGCAAAACCTCAGATGATTAGTTGCGTATCCTTTACAGGACTTTGCAGAGCCAACTCTAACAGCCCCTGGCTATTGTGTGGATTTTAAGGAAAATTTAAGCCCAGTAGTTTGCCATTGCTTTCTGGGCAGTCGGCTTTTTTATACCACTGTCGTAACCAACGCAAGGCGCATGGCCCGCAACTGGGATCGAACCCGGCATTACGAAGCGCTCGCATCGACTTAGCCACAGAGCCAGCGACAAACCTTGAGGTAGTTTTACAAATTACCCACTTTATCTCTGGCACTGGTTATGGTCTGGTGCAGTGGTTCCCAACTTTGTTTGTCATGACTTGCAGCCTCATATATAAAACATAGGCTTTCTAGTAGCATAAAGAAAGCAGACTGGACATTTTTCAGTATAGTATAATTGAGAGAAAAGTTCCAACATACCTGATACGATGGTTGCAGTTGTAACACATTAACAAGCTAATGGATTTGTGGTTGAATTTTCGTTAATGCTAACCTCATGTCATGTTTCTTATTCTGATTTTAAATTATGGAAGCATTAAAAGTCTGCTGTCACTTGTGTGTAGAAACAGACATCAAATCAAAGTCTGTGCAGCACATGATTACAGAATTTGTTTTCACAATTAAAAATGTTAAATTATTCACTCCAGTCCGGCGACCCCCGCAGAAAACTCTTCGGAGTCACAAATGACGTCGTGACTCCAATGCTCTAGTGGCATGATAGCTTTCAGCGTTTTGTTAATTTTATGCATTAATTGTATTATTTCTCTTTTATTGTGGTCTGTTAATAGCCTGCGGGAAGATAATGTATTTTTGACCTTTTTTTATGGAAGCTTAACAAAAAAGCTGACAACATCTTTAGTATAGGTGAAATTTTTTTGTAATTCAGAGACGCCAGTTTGGCAGCGGATTGCTTTGCATTAATGCTGGGATCTGACCTTTCAAAAAGCAATGGCAAATTACTGAATCTAAATTGCAGCATAAACAACAAACAGGGTTACTAACATTCTGTAAAGGGTACAAAACTAACCTTTTAATGCAGTTAAAAATAAAATTGTGTGCACAAAATGTGATGGATCAAAAGATCTGTTAACATTTTAAAACAAAAAATTCACAAAACTAAAGTGTCACCTTTGAGAGTACTCCCAAATTAAAGAGAAAAAGAAGTCAAAAGCTGATGTACAGAAAGATTTAAATAAATGATCAAATTCACCTGAAGCAAGGTTGCCCTGAGTAATACAAATGTAAACAGTTTTTGAATGAATAATTACTGCGTTCGGTGTGAAGCCCAAGTATTGAGACCATTACAGTGCCCAGTCAGGTGAGAAAAAAAGTTGTTTATGACAATGTAGGAACTGCCACGTTTCATGCAGGTTTTCCAGTATACATTTTCTGTGTTGTTTAAAATTCATCAATTGTTTCTCTTTGTTAATACAGAGAAATGCTACAAATGCAATAGACCAGGACACTTTGCTAGAGATTGTCGTGTTGACCAAGACCGTTGCTACAAATGTAACCAGCTAGGACACATTGCTAAAGAATGTGATAAAGAAATTGATTCAGGTTTGTAAACATTAGAATGTCAGTTGGTAATTGTTGCAAGTAATAAATACCCATGTTATCAAATGTTTGCACAATAAAAATGTGAACTTGTTTATATGTTTATACTTATTTAGTACTTTTTGACCTCATAAACTTGGCTGTTTTACCTATTCTAATATTGCTTGTTATTTGACTGTTGAATAGGTTGTATTTGCAGCAGCATACATAAATTACAGATATCTGTTTCTATAATTCTGGTCTAGGCTTTGGGTTTGTGTAGATTTAATAAAGGGAAAAATTATGTATGCACAAATTCCTAGCCAAATTTATAATGTAAAATATGATTTCAACAACTACAGAGATAAAAAAAACATAAAAAGCATTGTCCATCATCTGCAGGAGCTTGCTATAATTGCAAGAGCCCCGGACATGTGCAGCGGGACTGCCCTGAGTTGGGCAACAGGCCATGTTACCGATGTGGTGAGAATGGACATCTTGCTCGCGACTGTCCTGAAGACCGTGGCCCAGATGATCGCAAATGTTACGGTTGTGGGGGTGTGGGACACATTTCACGAGAGTGCCCAACAGCCCAGCGCTCGTCCGGGAAGGACTGCTTCAGGTATTTATGCATTTTTGAAAAACTGTTCATAGTATTTGAATAGAGAAGGTAAACAATGGCAAGATACCATCAAAGACGCACACACAGAAATATGTAGTATATGACACAACTACTGATGCTGGCGGTCTCTTCATATAAAACTTTGCAGTAAGTAAACTGCAGTGCTTTTTCCTACTTCTGAAAAACTTTTAGCTCCATTTCTTTTAATCCTATTTTATATTTATGATCATCATCATGTTGCACTCTGATTAAAGCGGGTGGTCATTTTTCACCATCTAATATGATTAGTATTCTTGGGTCAAGTGTTCTTGTCTTTACTAATCCGTGTGACCAAGTCATGCAGGTATTATCTCTGTATTTGTACCTTGCTCTTTTCCCATTAACCTCCTCAGTTGTGACAAAATCTTTTGCAACTGTATACATATAACAAGTTTCAAGATACAGGCAAAACATATTTACAGAGACAAAGAAGTTCATTTAAGCATTTCATTTTTTGATGACTCTTTACATTTGTTAGTTAATGTTAGTTTGTACAACCATTTCTCTTGTTTAATCTGTAATGTGTAATGAAGATTGCAGTTAATCTGGCATGTGAATGAATGCCATCATATTGAAACATTGCTGTTTTGCTTATGAATATGGCTGTGTATGAGAAATTGAGTTTGGGAGAGTGCAGTGTTGAGTTAAACCATTTGGTGGTTAAAGAGTAGATCAGGCAGGAGCTGTTGGTGGAGAATTATGGAAGTTTACTGTACAGTTTTGATGAGTTGTGATAGAGGAAGAAGAGTCAGAGGCCAGATTGGAGCAGATTATGGTGTGTATAAAAGTGTTTCATTCATTTTATATCTGACATTGACCACAGATGCTCGTCTGTTACAGACAACGACCAATGGTGTAAGGCTTGCCTAATCAGTGATTTCTTAATTTTAATGTCTACTCTAATGCGTTTAGCTTGAATGACCGAGCTTGTTTCTTTTGAACAATTTCTGTCATCCTGAACTAGGAAAAGTTCATTGGTACTCTTTCTTGAGTTACTTCGGTTTTCATTGTTTCTTTCACTGAAATTATGTGATTCTTATTCTGTAGCTGTCTGTGGTGTTCCCCATCATTCATTAGTACCTTCATACTCTGTAGAAGATCACAGTGAAGAGCTGTTTAAAGATATGGAGATTTCAGTTCAGTGATCAGTCTGTCATATGTTTTATTGGGAGGTACTTTGTGATCACAGGCAGGTCATTTATTATTAGCTCATCAACATTCTACATGTCTACCTAGTCAAACTGTTTGAATAAACAGTTCATAAAGATTATACCAGTCTTTGAAATAATGCAACAGCTTCAGTCATCTTAATGGACAAACGTAACTGATTGTTGCATCTTGAACAAGAAGTGAAACATGCAGACACATGATTGAATAATATAACTAAAAAATCTTTGCATCACAACCCACAGGATTAAAGACTAATTGACATTTTAAAAGAAAAAAGGGGGAGGGGGGAATTAGGGAATGGACAAAGATTTGTAGGACATGACATGGATGAACTGCATACAGTGGCAAAATATAAGATGATTTCAAGAGCCATATCATTTAAAAACAATATATTATGAATAAACCAGTGGCTGGACAGTGGAAATTGGCCAAGGTAACATTTTGAAACGTTTTGTCCCAGCAGCTGAGAACTGTTTAGGTGGTGTAGATGTCAAACTGAATTTGTATGGGATCAGTATGTCAGGTTGAAACACGGCAATGTTAGCTTGAGAACAGAAACTTGCTGGAATAGAGAGATGTCAAGAATACTTCAGCTGAAAGTTGCTGCAGACTGGCAGTCAGAACAAGTTTAGTGCAGATATCTAGAGATCCACAATTGAACTAAAGATGGTGTCAGTTACATTCTGAATAGGTCTTAAAGTAATGGCTTTTAGATGAATAAAACGAGAGCTCCACAGATGTCAGTCAGTCAGAGACTGTACCTTTACCAACACACATGAAACAGTGATAACGAGATCAGGTGAATCAGAAGTTTTTTCACTTCTTGAAGTAAATTTCTCAAAAGCTAACAACATATTAAGGTGTTAGTACTTCTGGATCTTTGATTTTGTATGCCGCTGTAGGTGGCTGGATGCTGGGATTCACTGTACCGAAACATTACACCCCATACTGCTCAAACATAAAACCACATATTGTGGAGTGTATCATAGTGAGGCACAAAAAAGTCTGTTACAATCTAGTGGCAGATTGATAAACAAAAGTGAGAAATATAAGCAAACGTGGATTATTCAAACACATTTGACTGATAACCTGATGATGCTCAGTCTTCCAGGGCAAAAGACATAGCGCTGAAAGAAACCTGGCATGAACATGTTGATGTTGAACATGCATAACAGGAGTTCCTTGTTGGCTGTCCAAAGGACAACTTGGAACAGATTCCCCCATCTTTGTTTTGCACAGTTCTGTTAAATGTTTCCTCAGGTAATAAACTCCACAGAACACAACTATGTATCATGTTCTTTGTGTACATTCTGTTGACAGCTCTGATATTTTTCCTCTTTCAGTTTACCTGTAGTTGTCTGTTTTGAATTAACTGATAAGAAACAATGAGGGAATCCACTTTTTCCATTGCATGCTGACCCATTCACTATTAATTCCAGTCTTAAAAGTGTTTAACACTTAAAACTTTGTCTTCCTACTGTCAAAACTGGGACAGCCAAACTCCAGCCTCTCAGGTTGTGTCTTATATCTATTCAGGTTATCAGCTAGATCTAAAAACCTTAGGGTCACACATGCCTCTTGTTCTAGCAAGTTGGACACTTTTTGTTGGGCAAATGTGACCGCATGCATGCAAATGCTGGAATAGCCATGGTCTGGGCTACATTAAAACTATTGGAATCTTCCAGCACTTTAGTGAAGAGAGGACTGTCCCATGCTGTTCCACCTGACGCTGAATGCCGCTGCTTCAGTTAGGATGCCCAAATGACTCATGTTTGAGTTGACGGTCGATTTGATTTTCAAAGGTCATCAGCTAATCAGTACTAATACATAAATGCACACACAAACATAGGGTTCTTTCTTTGCTGAATATTGAAATTGATACATTTGATGGTTAGTTAGTGTTCCTTGATGAGTATGATGTAATATTTACAAGTGAAGTCAAGTGTACTTACAGGTGTGGAGAAGCTAGATGGAAGTGAGGAGTTGTGTGTGGATGAAGGGAGGAGGTGAATTGAGAATGGTGACTTGAATCATTTTGAACAGGGGAGGCTTTGGGCCCATTCGCCCATCAAGAGACCGGATGCCGAGAAGTAGTGGGCCATATCGGTGGACAGCTGACGGTAGAGGCGGCAGAGAGGTGAAGTGGAACTAGGAAAGAGGGAGTGGAGGAAGGAGAAATGACGACCAGGAGAGGTGAGAATAGAGGAATTTGCATCAGTTGGAGTGTAGAGAGGGGAGGAGAGGAAAGCTCAGTTGATCATTATTGTGTGTTAGATGTTGTCGTGTGTTGGTGGTGGCTTCCATTTGTCCAGCAGATGTGGGTGGTTGTTCATATGTTGGTAGAGTTGTTTCATGGTTTAGAATTAGTAGAGATAACTGGTGGGTTTTAAATATTTATTAGTGTTTTACTGGAGTTGGTCTGGGTAGTCAAGTAAATGGAACAGATTTGATGTTTAGTCGCAGTATTGTGGAAGGTGCAAAGTTCAGATTTGTATGATGGCCACATGATTTGGTTTATAGCCTCATAGCTTTCTGCTGAACATGTTTGAAGGTAGAGCAGTTTATGATAGTAGCGGGCAAACCTTATCCATGTAGATTTGTTCAAGAAATAGAATGTCTCTGATGTGCTACACAGAAGAAAAGATCATTTAGGGGTTAAACAGTTAACTATTAATTTTCTAATGTTTTTTGTTTGTGTGTGTGTGTTAAACAGAATTAATCCCTAAGCAGCAGAAATAATATACTTCTTATAACTTTTAAAGATAAACAATTTATTTATTATAGTAGTTTATTACTATAACAATTTATTACAGTAGTTTATTAGTTTATGAACACAATTAGCTTATTCTGTCAAATGAAATGAACTACATGAAAGCCATGATTGAAGGAAATTCCTCTCTTGATGAAGCACAGACACACACAAACTATGTCTATCTTGAAGCTTGTTCAGCTTTGCCCTAACAGTTTATTGAAAATATTGAAAGTGATTTCATTTGTAAAAACCTGAATAAATACTATTTGCTGGTGTGCTGAAAAGAAAATGGGGATTTCCTTGAAAAGGTTATTTTATGGCGATAATATGTTTGCGTGTTCTGCCAGAATGTTTTCGATGTTGTTTTTCAGTAATTACACTGTTGATTGCTGAATACATGAGATAAAGCAGTTAAGGGATTTTGGTGGCAAAATGGTTAGGAGGTTTGCTGTGGAGGTTGGGAGTTGACTGAGTTCACAAGTGCATGTGTTTGAGAAGAACCTGGGTGTAACTATGAGATTGTGCTTTGTGCCACATTCTTGTTGGCCTAGCAGCCAGTTTACTGATTGAGACCTAGCCACATGGGATTCCACCCAGTGCAGTCTCATATTTGAATATCTTCAAATAAAATAATGGTAGAATGTAAAAGTTTACTGGTGGACCTAGTTTGCTTCTTTATTTCATAAAAAAAAAATGAGCGGGTGTTGTGTAGCCCTTGGATTCTGTTCCCTCTGTGCTACAGCCTTGAAATGGCTGATATGGCAGGGGGTTCTGGCAGTGTAGTGCCAGCTAGCCTGCTAGCCCAGTCTAAATAAAGTACACATGTGTTGTTACAGTCTTGAAAAGTTTCCAAGCAGTGTGCAGAGATGTCATTGGTTAAATTAGTCTTTATTATCTGTAACTGTTTTCTGAAACAAATGTAATGGAAAGTGATTTTGAGAAAGCATTGTCAGATAACATATTTAGTCAAGTTTACAGTAAAATAAGGCAGGCATGTATAATCTGATGCTGTAGAGCTCCTCTGTGTGTCATGTGCTTACAGTCTATGCCATGTTGTTTTCAGGTGTGGATCAACTGACCATCTGGCTCGGGATTGCCCTGAGACAACAAACAAAACACAGTGTTACAATTGCAACCAAATAGGTCACATAGCAAGAGATTGTCCATCGGAGTCTAAAGATTTGGTGGCAGCAGCATGATATGTGTTGTTTGAGTGGGTCAGATTGTTTGACATTATTTCCGGGTACATCATCATCATCATCCTTTCTCATGGCTGTGTCTGTGTTCCACAGAGGTGGACACACGTATTGGAAGTGTTGCAACTACTGTTTTGCAGGCAGTGTTTTATGTTCGTCTTTTGCTCGTTTTGGATACATTATTTTAAAATGATTTTGCATTGTATAATGTCCAGGCACTAGTTGATAAAGGGTTAGTTCATAATTGTTGTACACAGTATTATTCTCTTGTAGTTAGAGGTCACTATGTTAGACTTAAAAATTTTTTTTTTTTTAAAGGTCACTAGGTCAGGAAACAGTTATGTTTTAAACTGAGTTGTTGTTATTATTATTTGTTTTATAAGTATCGGGGGAGGAGGAGGAGAGGGCGGGGTCCGTAATTTGTTGCTTGTGTTTTGGGTGTTTTTTGTTTATTTTAATATTTAGAAGAATTTCATTTACTGCATTATTTTTTTTATTAATCTGTGAGTAAACAATTTTTCTCTAAAACGCTTTTTAATTTATTGTCAAGATTGAAATCTGTCTGGGATATGGGTGAATGTTGCAGCATGTGGTGTTGTACGAACTGGACTGTTGTGGAAATATTTTTTTTAGTGAAAGTGAACTTAGCTTCTAAGTGTGTATTTTGGGCCATGATAAATCAGCACATTAGTTTCTGGGCACTGTTACAATTGTTACACCTGTTTGTAATTTCTTTTCTTGAAAAGGTGTCCCATATCAGAGCGGTTACTGCTGGTAGGATGAAGTTTCAGGTCTTAGCATATTCTAGACAATGAGGTGGGGGTAACCGCTTCCCATTTTTGGCGCCTTTACACCCGAGAAAAACGTTAAGACATAATCTTGTACTTACTTTAAGAAAAAAAAAGAAACCGGGAGAGAAACTGTCCAGCCACTTCTGGCAATTGAATACTAAACCTCCTACTCAGAGGCTAACACACTGACTAATATTCCACTAATGGCATCTTATTTTATGCTTCTGGAAATGTGTCAGAGTGGTTTCCAAGTGACATTTACTGCAGGTGATTATGTGATTTTCCTTGGTGTTCTAGTACATTACATTTTTTTTAGCAGCAAGTGGAGATAACTAATAATATTAATCCACTGGTACAGTCAATAAAGGCGTTAAAGAATCTTAAAGGCAGCCGTTTATGCTCATTGTGCTAGTTTTTGTCTTTGATGGCATATTCTCATTTCATCCATTTCTGTAATTAAATGTTTGGTGTCATTTTTAAGTCAGTTCTTAGTGAAAATATGAAATATGATACTTGTTGTAGTTTAAGGGACAGGGCAGTGTTATGGACAGGTGGTGGGGTTGTAAAATAGCTTGCAGAGTAACATCTTTATCATATTGTTTATATTCTGGTAATAAATATTAAAGATTCCATTTACACATGAATTGTTTTCTGTCTGTCTTATATTATCACACAATCACGTCACTGCACATTCCCATGTGTGCTCAATCCTCCGATGCAGCGGCCACCCTAAGGTATCTTTTTGATTGTTCCTATGAGTTGGTTACAGTGTCTTCTTAAAGATGGCATAGAGGTGCTTCACCATGGCTTAACTTTTATATCATGCACTCAATAGGAATTCCTCATTATCCACTAGCCCGGTCCATCCAGCATTGGTGAGATCTGCTCTGCCCATGCTTCTACCTGTATGTCTTGCCTAATTGCCCACTCGAACTTTACCCTTTACTGTCATGATCGGGTGTACCTCCAGACAAGTCACATCTATACTGTATTTCTTTGAGTATCCCATTCTGTTCAAATACATGACCTGCAGTCAAGTTACATCTATACTGTATCTCTTTGAGTATCCCATCTGATTCAAATACATGACCTCCAGACAAGTCACACCTATACTGTATCTCTTTGAGTATCCCATCTCATTCAAATACATGACCTCCAGTCAAGTCACATCTATATTGTATCTCTTTAAGTATCCCACCCTGTTCAAATACATGACCTCCAGTCAAGTCACATCTATACTGTATCTCTTTAAGTATCCCACCCTGTTCAAATACATGACCTCCAGTCGTCACATCTATATTGTATCTCTAAGTATCCCAAATACATGACCTATGACACATGACATTTTTTACTCTAAATTTTTCCCAGGCAGCACTGTGAGACATCTCTTTTCGATTTCCAACTGCCAAGGGATGTTTTACGTGTGCAACTATACAACTAGTGTCTGGTCTTACAACCCACAGCTCCCTTTATGCTAAACTTTAACACAGATATGTGAAAATGAGAGGGTACCCAAAGAGAAGATGGACTGATGACATTTAAGACATTCTACATCGAATGACAATTGCTAGTGACACCCACCGAGCAATAGATAGCAGGCTCATCCTGCCCATTATGGCAAAAGTGGAAATAATTTATGATTACTAAACAAATTCACTCCAGAACTGCTTATCATAATGTTCATTTATTACATCATTTCAGAGCCAGATTTCCTGTTACACAGTAACAATTCTGGAAACATTTTCAAACTTTTAAAAAAATAGTTGGTTGTACTATGGCCTTTGATTAGTGTAACACTGGTAAAATATGAGGACGTTTCCACTGGCAGGCAAAGTTGACTTTCTCACCTGCAGCAGATGTTGCTGCCACCTGCATGTCTTGTGTTACACAAGCTGCAAGCAGATGTTGCTGCCACCTGAATGTCTTGTGTTACCTGCCACCTGAATGTCTTGTGTTACACAAGCTGCAAGCAGATGTTGCTGCCACCTGCATGTCTTGTGTTACACAAGCTGCAAGCAGATGTTGCTGCCACCTGCATGTCTTGTGTTACACAAGCTGCAAGCAGATGTTGCTGCCACCTGCATGTCTTGTGTTACACAAGCTGCAAGCAGATGTTGCTGCCACCTGAATGTCTTGTGTTACAAGAGCTGCAAGCAGATGTTGCTGCCACCTGAATGTCTTGTGTTACCTGCCACCTGAATGTCTTGTGTTACACAAGCTGCAAGCAGATGTTGCTGCCACCTGAATGTCTCGTGTTACACAAGCTGCAAGCAGATGTTGCTGCCACCTGAATGTCTTGTGTTACCTGCCACCTGAATGTCTTGTGTTACACAAGCTGCAAGCAGATGTTGCTGCCACCTGCATGTCTCATGTTACACAAGCTGCAAGCAGATGTTGCTGCCACCTGAATGTCTTGTGTTACCTGCCACCTGAATGTCTTGTGTTACACAAGCTGCAAGCAGATGTTGCTGCCACCTGAATGTCTCGTGTTACACAAGCTGCAAGCAGATGTTGCTGCCACCTGAATGTCTTGTGTTACACAAGCTGCAAGCAGATGTTGGTGCCACCTGCATATCTTGTGTTACACAAGCTGCAAGCAGATGTTGGTGCCACCTGCATATCTTGTGTTACACAAGCTGCAAGCAGATGTTGGTGCCACCTGCATATCTTGTGTTACACAAGCTGCAAGCAGATGTTGCTGCCACCTGAATGTCTTGTGTTACCTGCCACCTGAATGTCTTGTGTTACACAAGCTGCAAGCAGATGTTGGTGCCACCTGCATATCTTGTGTTACACAAGCTGCAAGCAGATGCTGCTGCCACCTGCATGTCTCGTGTTACACAAGCTGCAAGCAGATGTTGCTGCCACCTGAATGTCTTGTGTTACCTGCCACCTGCATATCTTGTGTTACACAAGCTGCAAGCAGATGTTGGTGCCACCTGCATATCTTGTGTTACACAAGCTGCAAGCAGATGTTGGTGCCACCTGCATGTCTCGTGTTACACAAGCTGCAAGCAGATGTTGGTGCCACCTGCATATCTTGTGTTACACAAGCTGCAAGCAGATGTTGGTGCCACCTGCATGTCTCATGTTACAAGAGCTGCAAGCAGATGTTGGTGCCACCTGCATGTCTCATGTTACAAGAGCTGCAAGCAGATGTTGGTGCCACCTGCATGTCTCGTGTTACAAGAGCTGCAGTTATTGAGTCTACATTGAAAACGGGGGTTTAAATAATTATCGGCAACTCTAAATACTGCAGATAACACTTCATTGCGCCTACTTAGAGCTTAACAACACAGCACAGCCAAATTGTGTGCTGACTCCAGTGGGAGTTAGTTGCAATGGCATGCATCAACTTGCCAATGGAAGTACTGCATTGTGAGGCATTAGTCTCTTCCACCATGCCATTCTTGAAATACTTAAGGAAACACATGAAAATAGTCTTCAAAAGTCCTGCTAAGGAAACCAAACCCTGTGATGTGTTCATCAATATCTATCTAATCCACTAATACAGTGCAGACCTCTTAAGGTGATCTGAGATGTGGCGAATTTCTGTTGTGAAGAACAATTTATTCCCCGGCAATTTGGATAAGAGAAATTTCTGATAAGAAGAAAATTTTTTTGGCTCCGAATTGAGTTCTTATCAAGTCTGCACTGTGCAGTCCAAGCCAAAAATATATACACGCTTTAGTACAGTAACACAGATGTCATCTGTGTACTTTACAAAGTGAGTCATATAATAGTAGTATGATCTTCTCACATGAATACGTGTACTAGCACTGAGACTGGACAAAGTAAAAAAAAAAATGGTTTTACTAGGTAATTTTATGTTGTGCAGTTTGCCACTGCCTTCTGAATGCCCAGCTTATACTGTTAATCACATCATTTGCAGCTGACTTCCAGACCCGGTATGTCTGGATTGTGAAACTTTTCACAATCCTTACTGCACAGATGCTGATGTGCATGTTATCAGTTACTACTATCCTCCCTAAGTTGGTTAAAGGGCAAGATTGTGGGTGTAATGGAACAGGAACCCTCAACCTCCAGCTCAGCAAGATTGTGGGTGTAATGGAACAGGAACCTTCAACCTCCAGCTCAGCAAGATTGTGGGTGTAATGGAACAGGAACCTTCAACCTCCAGCTCAGCAAGATTGTGGGTGTAATGGAACAGGAACCTTCAACCTCCAACCCAGCAAGATTGTGGGTGTAATG